CTCACTAAACAGAAAATGAATTTCTTTATGTTATCATAGGTCCTGGGGTTGAATAAAAGACCTCAGACTTAAGGCTTTGCTCTTCTTTTTCTCTTAGTCCCATGGGTTTTGGCATGAGGACTGCAAGTGAGGCTACTTCCACTGTCTCAAAGGTATGTGTATGTGGGGAGTGACACTGAATGAGAATAGCTTTCAGTTTTATTCAGAGGACTAAAAATTCAGGTGTCAGGAAGCCAAGTTTTTGTTTGTTTTAATTGTTTAATAAACTATTTTGAGTCCTACTTTATTAAGCCTAAAAAAAACTGGAAGCTAACATAAATAAAAGTAACATTGACATAAAAAACAGATGATTCCATAAGACTCTTTTGAAATTACATGTCTCGAACTCAGAGCTTATGTTCCCATTGAGATTCCTATACCAACCTGTTAAACTTAGTAATGAGGTTTAATTATTATCCTATCCATTACTGATTGATTTTTATAAATTATTGGGGTGATGGTTATTTTAGGGAAAAGAACATTTTAATATTGAACTTTCACAAAACATTATGTTTCACCAAAGATTCACAGTCAAAGAGACTCTGATCAAAAAATGAGAACAAATGATTTTATCTCCTCTTACTCCATACATACTACTTGCAGGATAAAAACAGACAACCCCCAGTTCTGAGCCTGTGACAGCAGCACTGGTGGAGGAAGGTAGATCTCCATGCAGCACTTTCTTATATGACTCTAGTCACATAAATGCTCACAGGGTGTATTCTCCAAGCCTGTAAAGGCCAGGGTGTGTGAGAAGTTCCCCCATGCTAGAGAGAACCTTGCCACCTCGATTCAAGACTTCACTGGGACAAGAAAGAGTTAAGTGCTCTCACTTTATTTCTCCACCCAACCCCTCCATTTTCACAAGCAAAGCATAGAAAAAGGTTTTTAATAAATATTAGCTTCCTTCCAGCTCCTGTTTCTCTACCCATTGCTTCTCTAGGATTTAGCACTCAATGTCCACCAAGGACTCCTATTTTTACGTTCTGTCTGGTTGTCTTGTCTAAATGTGCTAGAGCTGGTGCCTGTTCCTAAACTTCAGTTGGAATGTGGGGCCCCTGGTACTGTAATCAGCACCTCCTGCCCTCCTTCATATGACTGTTTTCTCCATTTCAGCTCCTATGCATTCTCCACCAGACTGAGTCACCTATAATAAGTACACCTTAGCTAGAAACACCTTTTTGAATACTGTGCCCTTGCCTACCTAATTGCTACCCAGAGCAACATCTAGCTGAGCCAATTTATTTTCTCTTTGGCTTCATTACAGAGTCCAAGTCTTCTTAGATGTGAACTTGATCCTTTTCCCTAACAGCCCACATGGATGAAAAACCAGAGCACTTGATATAAGGGAAACTTATCATACCATGCACTGAGAAGGCCGGGCTTTGCATGTTACATGTCTGTGGCATTTGCTGTCTGCCAGGGACTTATAAAATATTTGGGTGGTTATCCTATGTTGTCTTCCAGAGGTGGGAAATGTGTGGAAGCAGCTGCAGTTTTTTTTTTTTTTTTTCATAAAATAGGGAAGAAAGCAGACGAAAACAACAAAACACGCACACATTATCGAGCACATAAGTGTGTAATGACAATTGTGATGAAGAAAAAAAATCTGTGTAGAAAAATTAAGGATTTTCTATCACTGAAGAACTGACCGAGGTATCTTCTGTGTTGGAGAACTAATGGAAATGAATGGGTGGATAAAGCAGGAGTTAATATGGATGTGCTGCAGTTTCTATAACCTGCCTCCTATTGGAAGATATCTGCATTGTTTCTCATTCCTTGCTCTTATAAACAATTGTGCATGGAATAATATACATATATCACTTTGCCAAAGTATATAAAGATCTGTATAGTGAAAGTTGTTAGGTCAAAAGACACATATATATTTAAAAAATTTTAATAGATAATATCTCCAATCTCATGCCTCAAAAAGAAGGTCTTGGGAGCTCATGATGGCCTGTGAAGTACCTGTAGAACTTCAGTGGGAATGCTGGTTAATTAGTGACCAGTTGGATATATTGTAACTAGATATGGATGTGAAGAGATTTTGCTTAGTCGATTTTTTTTTAATCCACATTTGTTTGGCTTTGAGTGTTTAGATAAATTTTTAGTAATAATCAGTTTAAAATATTTTCTGTTTGTTCTGATTGTCTTCCTAACATATATTGAATAACTGAAGAAAAAAAAATTCTAAGGCTGGTCATGGTGACTCATGTCTGTAATCCCAGCACTTTGGGAGGCTGAGGTGGGCAGGTCACCAGGTCAAGAGGTTGCGACTGTCCTGTTCAATACGGTGAAACCGTGTCTCTACTAAAACTACAAAATTAGCTGGGCATGGTTGCATCTGCCTGTAGTCCCAGCTGTTCAGGAGGCTGAGGCAGGAGAATCGCTTGAACCTGGGAAGTGGAGCTGAGATCATGCCACTGCACTCCAGCATGGTGACAGATCAAGACTCGAAAAAAAAAAAAAATCTATCCCAACCACAGGATTTGTAGATTTGTAAAATCGATTTCACTTACATGAAAAGTACCCTCATCCAATCTTATATTAACTCATCTTCTCTCCAAGAGTCATTAATTGTAGATATTCTCCGTTGCCAAATCTATAAGAATACAGATTTTTACATCATTAAAAAAGATATAACTTTTTATTATATAACTAATATTAATAACTTTTTAAAATCAGACAATACAGAAATATTTTTTAAAAAGCAGGAGTTAATTTATCTACCTTCTGTCATTACTGTACTTTATAGAGCTGATATATGGGTTATTCAATGTCAAATCTGAAAACGTCCCTAAGATCACTCCCTCCTCTTTCCCACTGAAGATTTCAACTGCTTGTGTTTTGTTAGGCAAAGCACCTCCTAAACTAGAACTGAAGATGTTGAAGGCATTTGAAAAATCAGAGCACTTGATATAATGGAGTTTACTATTTCACTTTTCTTCTTGGCAGTTTTTAAAAAAATATTACTTTGATTGTTTTCACATTATCATAACCTAATGCAAAACATGTCACAGTCATTACCTGAGTTTCAACTATATGTATATCATCCATCAGCTCATCCGTCCCCTGTCTAAAAGTCTTATCACCATAAATTACATTTGAAAACCTGAAGTAGATGTTATTCATCCCCATTATTATTGAACAACAGGGGATGCACATGTTTTTTAAATCAAAATACTCACTCTATACTCACTAATGCTTTCCAATATCTTATGGGATATTCAATTGGCAAATTAGTAATGAAGTTTTTCTAAAAGAAATGATGCCCTTAAAAAATAATTTCAACACAAGCCATTTAGCAGAGGATAAGCATCTCAATAATGGTCTGATGATCCCTGCACAGCTGGGGGGCGAATCTCTGCCTTTCAGTCTATTCATTTTGACTTCTATGTGTGTTTGGAAATACAGCATTATTATTCTAACCACTGAATTTATTAAAAATGCAACCTTACAGATCTTTAAGGTTACTTGTAAGTCTTCTCCAAGGTTGTTTTCCATCTCTCCTCCTTTCGAGCTCTTGCTTTCCCTCTAGCAAGACCATGGTGGTACTAAGACAGTAGCAACACCTCCATTTTCATTTTTCATTATCATCAATAAAAGCGACACCTTATCAAATGTTTCTTTGGTATAGAACAGTGAAATAAATGCTCTAAGGGATTTTTGATCTAGGTAGGAAGTTTAGCATATAATGGGTTCATTTGAGGCTTGGAATTCTACTAATATATTTGGAGGAATATTTATATAGGACCTTCAAATATTGTCACCTCTATTAAATTTAGAACACTTTTCTTAAAACTGATTCATTTCCCTAGCATTCACCTTGTTTATCACACTGCTTATTATTGATGTGGACGCTGAAGTATTTCAGCTAATATTGATATTTGCTTAACACATGTCATCAAATGTTGAATGTGTTTTCTGTTCAGAATTTGTATGTGTCCTGAATCCATGTGGGATATTAATGCCAATCTGATTGAATACCAAAGGGCAGTAGAGTGAGTACTGTGCTCAATGGCAACTAGCTCTCCTGCCCTACTGAGATGTGCTATTTCCATAGGTTTATCATCTACCAAGTAGAACTTTACAATGACTAAGTTATAAAAGATTACCAGGCAAATAAACACTGTATAAAAAACAATGTATAAAATGTATAACATTTTAATATAAAGAGATTTAAATACTCTATTCTGGCATTCAGTGCGTCTTTTGTTTGGGATAAGTTTTCTTTTCCTTATCTAATTTCCCTAATTTTTTGGCATGCAATAACCCAGGACTCGGTCATTTACACAATTTACCACACATAATCCCCAGGATGAAGACTATTGATTTTGAACAAATGATTGAATACAAACTGTTTTATGATTTTAAAAATTAATTTCATAGTTATTAGCATTTGTTTTAATTTCTCTATAATTAAAATTCACTAAGAAATATACATATTGACTTCAGAAAGAAATGAAACAGTATAAATAAGAAAACTATTTTGAATAAAAATTACAACAAATCCCACTGCCAAGCCCTTATTTCCTGAGCAATCATCCTGGAAAATGCAATATTCTCCGTTGATTTCTTAGTACTTGCTGTGGTAACAATAATTATAGCAACTCCATGTTGGTGTAACCAGACCTTGTTCTCAGAACTTCACATGAAGGAATACATCTTATGTCATGGCAGTCACATGAGGCAGATTCAGTATTATTCAGTATAAATAAGGAGTCCTACCACAGAGTTTTTAGTAATGCACTCAGGATCACAGACGTAATAGTACTAAAATGGGATTAAAATTAGGCTTTTAATCACTTTACCAGCTTTTGTGAATATACTAGTTATGTTAAATGTCCAGTTTTCACTCCCAGGTCCAAACTCTTGGTTTTGATTGAAGTCTATTTTAGGTAAATTACTTATTCTCACGTGAAATATCATTTTTTCTAAAAATTATAGTATTCAGAGCCTGATTTCATAGAATAGGTATATGTCTTCTATTAAGTTTGTTTCAGACAGCGTTCATGGGTGTTATTCTTCTCAAGTTAGGCAGTCTTCCAGTCTTCACAAGTGTATCACTTCTTGGCTGATTATGGCATTTGAAAACCTTGAATCTTTTTTTCCAGTTCTAATTTCTCAAGATACAAGAGAGAAATCTGAAGCCAGCCTCAGCACAGAGAGAGGTGACTTTTACCACGTCCTTAAGGCATCCCTCCTAGAAGGAATACAGAACTTTGTTACAGAGACACACTAGGATGAAACCACCTCAATCAGTGCTAATTTGGGAGGCTCACAAATCTCATCCAATGACATTAAGCAGACAAAGGGTTTTAACTGACTTCTCTTCATTATTCCTGGGGGCACTGCGTTATGCCTGTAAGTGCTGTGTTTCATTATAAATGAGCCACCTGAAAATTATTTTTTAAAGAATTAGGGTGTGTAGTTACATTGCTAAAAAAAAATCTTTAGGATGTTTCTAAAACTGCCCTGATATTATTAAAATGAAAACTTTCAGATGCATTTAAAATTTCTATTGACTGTATATTAACACATATTCAAAAGAGCCATTACTCACCAAGCTTACACAGAAGATACTGAACTTGGTAGGAGTTTTAGACTGATCCATAGACAATTGTTTTGTTTGTTCATTTGTTTGCCTATTTGTTTATCTTGTTTGTTTTTCCGTAAGTAAAAAGTTGAAAGCTGACAATTTCCTATGGTTTAACCTGATAGGTTAAATTATGCTAAAGTAGCAGAAATTAATTATTAGTAGTAGAACTTGAATTGTATTTCCAAGTTGGCCCTATATTTTTAATCATCTCATTAAGAGAATATAGGACTGTTTTCTACTCAGTGTCATCACAGATTTTCATATAATTGGGAACATATGGTACTTTGTTATGTGAATATACATGTAAGATTGTATCTTCACTGTTTAGATTCCATTATTTCACTAGGGTATGTTTAGCTCCTGTGACTTAATTCTACCTGGTATACATTCAAATCTTTCCATCTGTAGGAGCAAGTCCTCTGTCAGTTAAATTATTAGTTCTTCTGTCATATCTGTGATTACCTTTTCTGTTTCATTTGGCTTATTCTCTTTATGAGGACAAGTCTCCCCAAGATAAGCTCCCCTGGTGTCCTTCATACTTGTCATCTCTCTCTTCTTCTTTCACCTACCTGGCTGTTCTTCTCTGGGTGTGATTTGAGTGTCGTCAAGACTGTCTTCACATAATTTATTTGGTTTCTGCTATTTCAATTCTGATCACGACTTCTCAATGCACCTTTTCCGTCTGCTGTGTGATTATGTGTTTGGATTATGTGCTTGGATTCATCTTTCAAGTTAGCCACCCCACTCATCATGTGTCTATTCTTTTATCATTCCATTATTCCATACACTTTTTATGAACAAAGCAATTGCTGTCTATAAATGTCTCTTCTTTTCTTGTTTTTGTTATTCCCAATCATTTTAACTGTTTCACAGTATGATTATTTCATAATATTATGTGCATAAATTTTTTTTTTCAAACCTGTGTGGAGGCAGTGGAGAGTTCTAGTCTGGTTCTATAATGCACTATGGTGAGTGGTCAAGTGGCTTTTTTTGTTTGTTTGTTTTCTTTGTAGAGATGAGGACACCCTATATTAATTAGGTTGTCTTGAACTTCTGGGGTCAAGTGATTCTCCCACCTTAACCTCCCAATGTGTTGGGATTATAGGCATAAGGCACCATGCTTAGCCTCTGAGTGGCCAATTTGTAAAATATTTTATTATCTTTAAATTTCTGATTGTGTAAGCTCATTCTCGCTGAGCTATGGTTAAAATATTGTCATAAAAAATGTCTCCTTTAGTACAGCCTCATGCTTTACTGTAGCTTATCTTCCACTAGGTTTCAGGTACTATTAATTAATATGGGCATGGGAAAGGCAGAGGAATCTATAGGGAGGAGGTTTTCCAAGCGGCAGACTCATGTCTCCCATTGTCTACTCATGCCATCAACCCTTGTCCCTAATTTTCATTACTAAGACCCACTAATGCAGGAATGGCCCTTTGTCTGTCCTGCCGTCTTTCTTTGATTTGGTCTCATCACATGACACATGCAAGGGTTTAGATCTGGTGTTGGTAAACATCTGTCTCCACTCTGCCCTCTACTCTCTCTTTGGTGATTTGGGTAAGGCCTGGGAAAATAGTATGGAGGTTTACTCCTTCTACTGCTTTCTCAAATCACCCTGGTATTTCTGACTTAAAAATGCCAAAGTCGATGAAGCAAGTAAAATCATTTTATTTCTCAGAAAGTTGGAGATAGTTTAATAGCTATAACTCCTCATACCAAGAAATAGAAACTTTCTTAAATTTGGTTCATGTAACATAACAAAAATTTAAAGCTGTCAACTTCTGTTACCAGGAAATTTTTATACTCACCTGACATTAGTCACTTCATTTTCATGCTGCAGAGAGATATCAGGTTGGTAACTAGAAACCACATCTTCCAGATTACAGCATATGCTGCTGGGGCACTGGCAGGCTGGCTGGGAGGGTGACGTCTGTCACAGAAAGGAGCCCAGACGCTCACTTGGGTTGGACTCTTCTTTTCCGGTATTAACTGCTGTCCAATTGGATGCCATTTTCTCCTTGCCCTTTAGAAAATGATTGCGCACATTTCTCCTGTCTCGGAAATATCTATGAGATTATCTTGTTAATGCAAGTCTCAGTTTCATAATGTAATACAATATGGCTGGTGGGATGCTGTTCATGCTTTGGCTGAACATGCAACATTAGCAGATGAAAAAAATAGAGCTAAAAATCATTCTTCACAATAAGCTTTCTCAGCCTCTTTAAAAATTGGCACAAATGCAGATCTGCCAAAAATCCTGGGAGTTGGAAGGCTTGGCATTTTCTAAGCATTTGAGAAACAGAAACACACTGAAATTGAGATGCAGTAACCACCAAAACAACAGCAGAAGGCACTAATAAAGCTAATGACTTATATTTAACTTGTTATGACTCAGATAACTGGATTTCATTGCACACATACTATGTGCCTAGCTTCTACAGAGATAAGGACGTGGTAGATTATGCAAGAATACAGGAAATACAAAGGATAATTTTTGTTTTCCAAAGCTTATGATATAGTTGGTGAAATAAAATATTTATTTGGATTAACTAGAAAATGATAGGCACTCCCTGGAAGTGTGCCTGGTGCCTCAAAGCTTGGTAGACAAGAAATTCTGTTTGGAGGTGATAAGCATGTTGTCAAGAAATAATTTGACTTATATGGTTAACACTCGGTATCTCTTAAGTAAAATTGTATAACTTTTGTAAGTGATTATATATTGCTTTGCTATACACCACAAAAGATAATCAGACTATATAATTTCTAAAATTATAATTATCATCATAGCATACTTCAAAGAAGATTATTGTGTAGATTGATTTATTCAGAAAGATATCATGGAAAAAAAATTTGACCTAAGGCCATGGTAACAAGGTAAGATAATATCAAAGGCAAACTTAGATGCTGGAACAAATGCAATATGATATCAAAAGCCTAAATACGAACTCACTTACTAGCTATTGTGATGTTATTGACCGACTTAGCTCTCTTCCATGACTCGGTTTCCTCATGTGTGATACAATGGCAATAATAATGACATTTCTTTAATCCATGTCATCAATCTCCAAGACAAGTTTGCGTGGGAGGGGTGTGTATTTGTGTGTGTGGGAGGTGGGTATGTTTGTTAGCACAGGCATCAAGGAGAGAATAATGCATCAAGAAGAACAGAGCCAACATTTTGGATTCAGCAGCGTGAGTATTTCTGAAGAAAGAATTCTGATCATTGAAACAAATGAGCAGACATGGGGAATTATGCAGAGAAGGGTTTATTGGAGGAAAAGGGGATGGAAGTTGAAGGTATAGATAAAATTGATCTCTGTGGTCACTTTCTATCTTGTTTTGATATTCCTTTTTTCCCCTCATAATAAATTTCCTCACAATGACCTGGCCCCTCTTGAGCCCTGTCACTTCCCCTGACCAGGTTCTGCCCCCTGGAGAGTATGGTGAGGGGCATCTGTCTTCCAGAGAGCTGTTAGGATGCTGCATTCATTCTCCCGTGTTTCATGTACTGGTAGCTTTCCTCAAGCTTGAATAATAAACTTTCCTTCATGACACCACAGTTCAGGCACAGAGGTCAGCTAGGGTGTGTGCTATAAAGGGGTAGGGATAGCACTGAGATTTGTAGAGGCAGTGGGCATGTCTATGCCTTCCCAGTGTTTCTGACACTCATCTAGGCCGGCTTTGCTTTTCTAAACTGCAACCATCCTTTCTTTCAAGGAAATTCAGTGCCCTACAGAGAGAAGGAAGAGAGAACATTCAGGTTCTGTTGACATAAACAACTGTAAACACCAGTCTCTGCTACCCCTGCAGGCCCCAAAGACTCGCAGAGGAAGGTGGCAGGAGAATGTTTTCAAGTATTTCTTTGCTCTTGTTTTCCTCTATGTCTATGGCTCAATTCATCTTCTCATTCATTTCTGTCAAAAAACATTATTTTTATATCTTCACTGCATTTTCCTCTCTTCGTCCTAGGCTTTCAGTATTGAATCCATCTAAATTTTTTAATAGATTGAGCTAAATAGGTTTTCCAGTATGTCTGGCATTTTGGTCTTTCTGTGGTATACATTGTCTTGGAATATTGAACAAGAGAGGCAACATATGAAATTATTTGAACCTGACTTGTATTCTGCAATGTAAAATTGTGCCAGAATTGAAGTGGAATTACATATGGTGGTATTCAGTGGTAGCAGACAGATCATATTAGTCTCCTGTGAGTGAGGGTTTCTCTAGGACTTGGGATGTAAGGAGCCTTTCTTCTAAGACCAGATTAAAGATCAATACTAGGGGCGGAAGCTGGAGGCTGACAAATATAAGGAGCAGAGGCTGGAAGCTTGCATAGAGTTTTCCCAGATTATCCTTTCCTTTTCTCTGGATATCTGTAGGGCTCCTTTTTTATTCACTTAGCTCTCTCTTTTTATGGCAGTATTCAATGCATTGTTGCATTCTTCTGTCTCTACCCTACTCTTAACCCAGACGGCAACTTTTTTGAAGACAAGATATTTAACAGTCAGATTTGTTACACTCGGTGCACTTGCCACATAATCTATCACACAGTGATTGAAACATTTTTTAAATGAATGAGTGAGTTACAGCAATTCTGCTGCACAGTTAGGCAAGAATGCAGGGTGAAGGTACATAGCTCAAGAAGTAGGGCCATATGTTTTGCCTCATCTCCTAGAATACTTTCTTCTGTATTAGTTGTAACACAGAATCAGCAGTTTATTTCAGTTTAAGAAATGCTTATCATGACAAGTACTCTGGTAGGTTACAAAGAAACGAAAGAAAGAAAAATATGTTGCTTTTCCAGAAGACAGTTATACTATACATGGTGCTACAAAAAAGAAATTGCATGAAATCGTGGAATATAATGCATGAAGTAAGAGAAACTTAAGAACTGTTTTGAGTAACACAGAAGATACACGGTCCATCTCTGGGGAGCAGTCAGAGAAGAGAGACTCCCAGAATCAAATTTTTAAGAATGAATATGAATTTTTCAAGTCTAAGAATGAAAAAAGAAACATGTCCTATGCCAACCAATTGGAACTGCACATGCGCCTGTTTGTAAGTGTGCATGTGTTCACGTATGAATGTGTATGATTATATTTGAGTGAGGTGTGTGTGTTCATGCATGCACTTGGCTGTTTGTGAATGGATGTGCTTCTGTGAGTGTACAGGTGAGTATG